GTTGGTCTCCCAATCATGTTGAAGAAACGGTTGAAGGGTGGAATCAAGCTTTTGGACTTTCTCATATAAAGGATTCTTGGTGATATCCACAATATTAGTGACATTACGTGCCGCAGAGAAGCTAGTAGTCCCCATTGGGGATGGTGAAGTGTTAGACGGCCGGCGGGATGAGTTCGGATCTTTTGGTGAGGTGATTTCGCCTTGGGCAGATATCATGTTCACATTTGACTTTCCGTCAGTAGCAGAACTTCCAGAGATCTTGAGTTTCGGTTTCGCAGACCCCGGCGGAGGGAGCTTGCTTCCGTTCCCTGGCATTGTTGATCGAAGGAAAATATTGAAGTGTACTGAAGTAAACTTTGGGCTGTCCGCTCTGGATATCACAAGCAAAGGGATATATATATTCATAATCAGTGACCAGAGAGTACGATGTCAAGGTTCAAGGGATGAAAAACAAACAAGAGTTTTTGATAGGTAATTATAACATGTACTTGGTTTCTTTACCAGCTCTGATATTGACGCTGTTTGAAAGAAAGGAATTGTAGTCAAGAAATGTTATGCAAGATCATTGAAAGCGTATTCTGATAAGATGAGATTGAGGAAATTGAGGTGAATATGGAAATTGCTAAAAAATCTCAAAGATTTCGAATGTTGATATTGGAGTCTTTGCGTTTATTGTGCATCAATTATTCTGATTCGTGGACCTATATTGGTGATGACTTGATCACAAAGAAATTTCCAGTGGAATGAATTTAAATTCAGAAAATCCTGTCACAAACTCCCGGTCAATCTGATCAAACTTTGCCGGCAAAAGTGGTCAAGCGTTTGAGAATTGGCTGTAAATGTTTGGTGATCACCAAGCTTTAAGCTTGTTCATATTTTTCAAAGGAGAATGTTTTGGAAATCAAATCATGTTGTGGGGATCATCATCCTTCTGATCAGGTGCATTTCAAATTAGAATGACAACAATTACTATCGTACCAGAATGTTTGTGAAAGGATTTAATGCTCCTTTATAAATCTACATATATATGATATCGGAGTTTGACTTGACTTAAATATTTATTAATTAAATGGTGATCTTCCATCATTCTCTTTTCCAGCTGTCACACTGCATATAAATTGAAACACCAAATCTTGTCGTGATCATGAGTCCCGTGGGCTTTGATAATTATGATGATCAGAAACTTCTGAACAGTCGGGTATCTCCAGATCATGTATATATATTATCAATTGTCAGAAAGAGGGTTTCCAACCAGCTGATCATTCCCTATTTTCAAACATCGCTTTTGACATCACAATAACTTCATGTCGACACCACTTCAATTTCACATTTTCCTACCTAGCTATATCCTCGGATACATTGTTGATAATCAAACTAAGCCTAGGATCGATTCTGACCTCTTCCTAAGCAAAGCCACTACCTCCCAAATTGTGGAGGTGATCCTTTCCTTTTATCCTTATTTTCGTTTTACTCAAAATGCACAAGAAGATCACGAACTCCTCTTGAAGATTTTTATCGAAATGGTAGCCCCCCGTCTAAACAACATAACCATCCCTCTTGGTCGGAAAACGGACTATGTTCAAGCTGAGCTAGGCTACCCGATCCACGATGCGCAACCTTCAATCAGATGGATTAATTCTAGTGCTGATATCGATGCAAAACGGATTGAAAGTTTCAACGACCACTGCCTTGTGAACCTCAAGAACGGACAGTACCGTCTTGCGGCCGAAAACCTCAGGGAGTTTGTAAAGAAGTACAAGTATCTTAATCATAACGAGATTGACGAGATCATTGGTGCTCAAGATGACATAAACGAGACCTTCCACGAGGTTGGAGGTAATCTTCGAGACGCCCAAACTTCCATCGAGATTATCCAACTTCGGCTACTTGAGCTCGACCTCTCACCTACCTCCGTGCAAGGCCTCGAAGGGCAATTAAGATTGGCAAAAATTTCATTCAAATCACTTCAGAAGACGTTCGAAGTTGTCACTCAGGATTTTGGGTTAATTCAAGCTTTGTGCGATTATCATAAGTCAGTTCCCTTTTCAAATTTGGTTTGTATGAGCAAGTTTAAACTTACAATTGATCGTGATGATCAATCAACTTATAGGGAAATTTCCAGCAAACACCGTGATGGCCAAAATTAGTCTTATTTGTCAGAGATGTATATTAAAGACCTTAACTCAAGATACGATTCAAGCAAGACTAGCATAAGAAGATCTCAATCTTACAATCTATTGTTTCTTTTACTTATTGTGTCTTTTGGCCCTCTCTCTTTTGGTCTCTAATTACTTTCTTTCTAATTTTTGCACTTTGAAGTCGGGTTTCATAGAGTCGGAAGCATTATTGTGTCTTTTGGTCCTCTCTCTCTTGGTCTCTTACTTTCTTTTCATTTTTTCCACTTTGAATTTGGGTTTCATAGAGTCGGAAGCATACAATTCAACCTGAAATACTTGTCTATCCTGATGTCATGGATAAAATTAAGAGACTCAAAGATGGAGAGAACATTATAATTAGTAACTACAGAATTGGCACTGTAGTAAAGATGACTGATATGATGAGAAAACAATCAAAATCTATTACTGCTTTAGATCAAAATAGTGTGTTTCCAACAACAGCACTTGTGACAACTGATGGATTCCACAGATTAGTATGATATTTTAGATCTGTATGACTTTATGTTATCCTGAGATGCCCATATTCTCATCCTACTTGACTTACATACGTGGATCTTGAAATTATAGAGCCATGGGAGTCACAGATTATAAAGATAATCTGAATTACAGATTGATAAAATAATCTGAGCTCGCGTGACTTATGTTGCTCCTAATTATCTTTTCTGCTCGGAAAATATTAATTTTGGCGTAGTGTCATTTGATCAGTTAGTTTTTAAGTGCTTACGTATCAAGCCACGTCAACGGAAGCATGGATCATTCATCACGCGCTCCAGGATGGGATTGGATGAGATGCAATATGATTATTCTAGCGATTTAATGTTAGGCGTAGAGCAGCTGATCAATCTTTGTGGTCATAGCATAACAGATCTGAGGTTCAGCTTTAAAGCCGGTGTGGGTTTCTCGCAAGGTATCATAGATGCGGTAAACGGAATTGATAGTCTCAAAGTATTGATAATTGATGGGAAACCGCCGAGTTATGACATGAACGACTCGATATCATTGGAAAGATTGCTCGACTCGACTGGCAACTTGCGATCATTGACCCTCAATGTTGCTTTTCTGCGCACTCTAGATCTAAATCAACTGTCACTTCGTCAGCTCGAACATTTGTCTGTTAAGTGCCATCCATACAATCAAGGAGCCATCGGACGCCTTTGCAGAAATCATAGTAGCCAAATCAAGTGCATTGAATATTTACCACATGATCGTCGTGACCAACCCGGCGAAATGATGCTTGCGCTTCGAGAATCGTTGGAGGTCGTATTCACAGAATCCATTCCGGATCTTTTGCCAGTCAGCGTCTGCGATGTCAACTTCCCGCGCCTGGCGGTCTTCCGGTCTCTTAATTCTAACAGTATTGCTAGGAACCTCGGATGGCTAGAATTGAAGCTGTTTGAGAACATGGAAGTCTTCATCACGGGGTATTATCTTTCCAAAAAGTATTGGCTGCTCATGCTAAAGGCCGGGAATTGTCATTTACTCAATGCGCCTCCTCGATTCAAAAATATTATCTTCATTACTTACGGCGAGGACTTAATGCATGACCCACTGTTGGTCGAGGGTTTTGGGCGCTATGGGATTAAGTGTCATTTCAGGAGTCAGTTGACTTATCTTGAATTGTTAGTAAGTGATTTCAATCTTGAATTTGGCCTGAAACACCATCTCTAACGCAGCACGGAGATCTTTGACAGAATGTAGCTACATTGATGAAAAATCAAATCGAGTGAATAGGTGAAATGTGACAGTATGTTGGGTAACAAAATGCTCACAGGCTCTGTTTTGCAAGTCTCAAGGGAATTCAAAAGCGTGGAGACATTCCTTCTTTAACACACATTTCTTATAAAGTCAATAAAGTCAATATATGTCAAATTTTTGCGCCCTTTGGGTGAATAGCAGAAGTGGTGTGTTTCTTGGTTCCACAGTAAGTTTTGGCTTAATGGGAAACAATATCAGTGAGAGACTTCATTGCCTGTCATGCAAATGTATTGTGATTTGTTCAAGTGTTGATGTTGTGGGTGTCCAAGACATGAGAGTTTGTCTGAGTAAACCAGGGAGCACATTGTTTCAATGAAGGGGATGTGCTGATTCAGCTCAATGAATAAGTTTGGGGATGTTGAGTTTGTGTAATACGAGCTTTGCGGCGCCCGCCGCTGATAGGGCTAGTATATTTGTATAAATGTTGCGCAGCTTCAACAGTGGGTCAGCTAAGCTAACTGTAGCTGTGACGCAGCAGAGCGCAGCGGTATTTAGGCCCCGCTGCATCACCCGTAGCGTACCTCTATCCGGAAGCACACCGCCAGGCTACGGGGCCCGGCAAAAACGACTTTTTTTAAAAGAGCTACGCTTGCGGCACGGGTAGCACCGTTACCCGTCACCGTAGCTCCTGTGCCGGGTTCAAAGCACCCAATCGGGTCAGAATGGCCAACACCATAGGTGGACCACCTCGATTGGGAAGTATCACGCCAAACTTCGAACGAACCTTCAAAACTAACCCCTCGTAACCCCTCGATACACCTATCTGGACCAATACCAATGTATCTAGGCGCAGGGCACGTCCTTGATGGTCATACAAGGACTATCAAATTGGTGGGGCAATATTGGAACTTGAAGCCATTCAAAAGGTTTAAAAGTTTGTTTGAATCCTATCTCCCTCTCTTATCGCTTCCTACTGATCCATCTCTTCCTCCCACATCCATCACTACCATACTTATCAACTTACATCATTTTGATTTCAACTCACCGATCACATTCTTACAAACCATTATAATTTTTCATTCATTTTTCCCAATTTTCTCTCGATTTTTCTCTCGATTTTGTATCATCATGTCTTCAGTAACATCCGAACGCCCAGCGCGGGTTCGCAAGCAGACCAGTCATCACGGCAGCCTTGTCCCACCGAGTCCTGATTTAAGTCGGCGTGTTACATTAGACAACATCATCCTAGCTCCCACCAAGTCTCGAAACAAACGAAAGAGGGGCAGCACTGTCACCATTGTCAGCACAGAAGATGAAGAATCTGATTCGGTAACCGCTGGTGAAAAGCAAAAGAAGATTCAAGGAACGATCAACACCTATTTATCTGACTCTGAAGCAAGTTCTCAAGAATCACCAGTTGTCACCAAGAAGAATGAGAAGGAGCGTGCCGCTCAGCGCAATTCTTCCAAAACGAATAACGTCAGTAGACTCCAATCCAATTGAAATACTCTACTTGTAAGCTGACTCATCATTACCTATTCAACAGGTACTCCCAGATAACATCACGAGAGAAATGCTACGGGGTGATTCTGATGAAGATAATAAGAAGATCGATTCCAAACGGCGCAAGTGTCAAGATCCTGAAGGCGACCTGGTCAAACTCAAGAGTTATTATGACCCACCGTTTCATGGAGTCAACAGCCGCGGTGTCCCCAATGTGAGTGCTAGAGCCTATTAATAATGTAAAGGTTCAATTACTCATCTCTTTTATAATGCAATCAATTTCTAGGATCCAACAAAGGCTCCGTTGTCTTATCCATGTCGGTTTTGCAAGCGAGACAAAAGCGACCCGGTTTGCGTTAGCCTCAGTAATCTAACTGGTAATCTTCGAGTACATCGTGACGGATCAAATCAAGATGGACGGTCTGATCTTGGCTGGGTCGGTTGACTCAAGGCCCGAAAGCTGGACCCAGCTCTGGCTCCCCCATTGGTTTTCGAAACTCGTCAGGCACTAGCAAAATCATCTAAGGGACCAATCAATAATTATGTAGTTGCAACACCTTGTGCACCATTTTCTAATCTAACTCTCAATCAGATGGCATGCACTTGGCTGATCCGCCAAGCGCAACCATGGAATCGAATGGAAGACCCAATCTTGTGAGGTATGATACATTATCTTTGAAAGGATGCGAATTTATATGGAAGACAATGGGCTGCTGATGAGGCCAAGCAAGTAAATGCAAGTCTCAAGGCCAATGTTTTCTCTGATTTGAAAGTAAGTTATGTTGTTTTTGCTATTTCCAATTTTGTTCTGAATCTCATTTGATTATCAAATATTTTATTTTGTTACAGTCTCTTAAGTCGAAATTCAATCTGATCCATGATGGCTGGACCACCAAGGGTAATTGCCATGCCTTCATTGGTGCGGCGGTTACATTTGTGGATAACAAATGGAATCATCGAGTACGACACCTCAGCCTCAAGTTGATCGCATGGCATCATCATGGGCCTTGGTTAGCAGAGCCAATTGTAAATCTGTTGGTGAAACATGGCCTTTATCAAAAGATAAGTCCTTTGTTTAACTTTTAATCTACCTTTTCAATTTTTCATGTTGGGCTCACATCTTTCTTGATTTATTCACATGCTTTGTCAGACGACCGATTCCGGTTTGAATAACAAGACAATGGCCCGTGAGATGCACAGACAGTTCCTCGAGCAAGAAGACAATGAATTGTACCAATGGGACCCTAAAAGTATGCATATATTTTGTTTTTGTCACAAGATAGCATTGATAGTCAATGCAGGATTGGCAGCCTTAGGTGTGAAGGCACCTCCACCTTTGAAAGTCAAGCAAGCCGCTCGAGGTCATTTTCCAATGTTTGAAACAATTTTCGAGGAAGAAGAAGAAGGTCAAGAAGAACCTACAGTAGCAGATGCAAGCCGTGTTAACTCCGAAGCAGTCGACGCCGAAGATATCGACATTGAGCATGATTCACAAGACCTTGTTGATACACAACCAGAAGAGGTTGTTCCTGAACTTGATGACGAGGCGGACTGGGATGCTGCAGATGCTGACGAGCTGGAGTATCCTGAACTTCAGATTGAAGACAACGAAGCACAGCCAACTCACCGTTGATAGGCCAATCATGTAGATTACATATTGCGCAAAGTACGGTTTTATTCCTGGAATCATTATGTTTGACATATATTGATGGCTTATTTTGTCATATGCGCACCAGGTGGACTTCATCACTCGACAAATCACACGGTCAGCAGCCTGGCGCAAGGAGTTTGAGCGAGTGAGTGCTCAGAAGGGCTTCACTGGGTCACTCATCGCGGGCTACGGAATTAGATCGAATATTAAGTATATCAGCCGCAACAAAGCTTGGCTAGCCCAAGATGTGTGTTCATTCTGCTTTGAAAACTCTCATATCCACATCATTTCCTTATTTCCACTAATCCCATACTTCGTTCAGGTTATTGATCAACTCTGTCGAGACGATTTGAACAAAGTACATGCTAAAAACCGGCCTGCTCGCAAGAACAAGAATCCCGACGGCTATTTCCATGAATTGGAGATGACCACGTCCGAGTGGGCACAAGTGCGAAAGATTAACAACGAGCTTGAGGTGAGTTCATTAAATTTCCGGCTCTTGAAATTTCATCTGTTCTCACTGTCTCATTTTCACTCGCACAGCCTTTCTTGAAGATCACTCTGGCAATGGAAGGGGATGGACCCTCCGGATGTATGGTGATTCCGAAGTACGTGGAAATACGTAATGCCCTCGAGAAGAAAATTGAGCCTCTCAACACAAGCGACACGATGTATCTGATGCTTTCCAAGATGCTCGAGAAGACGAAAGAATATCTCAATGAAGCTCTAGCATGCGAGACCCTGGTCATGGCCACAGTCCTCCATCCTTTTTTTTGATTAAAATTTTTTGCTAAATGGTTTGGACCCCAGTCTACCGTAACGATGACAGCTGAAGCTACTCTGAAACGTCTCCATCGGGAGTATCAGCTCGCCACACCTATTCCAAACAAATCAACACCTTCCCAGATCAATTTGAAGGACCCAAAGACCCCTGCGACGTCTTCGCCCAAGCCAGATATTTTTGACAGTGACTCTGAGGACAAACCCGAGGCTGAAGTGTCTGAGGACTTGGCATTTAAAAACTACTTATGAGGAAGTGACAAAATGAAAACTGAAGATTATAACGTTCAGGATCCAAATGCCAGCCTGCAATGGTGGAAAGTAAGTGTATTACCTTCTGAAAAAGTTTGCATTGTGTCGCTGACTTTGCTCGAATTATAAATATGGCTAATAGTTACATGAAAAGTCATACCAAGTACTTGCACGCATGGCCAGGGATTATTTAGCATCGACCGGGTCATCATGTGCAGCTGAACGCATATTTTCTTGCGCCGCCGATATCTGCTCTTCAAGTCGTGGAAGCTTAATAGCTCGCACCATCAAGATGCTGGTATCAAGCAGAATGTGGTTAAGGGAAGGCGTGGAGCTTGGGGTAGGTTTTGAAGACCTTGTGAAGGTCTTCAAAATAATGGGAATCCCCATGAATTAAATTATTATTTCTCCTTGTATTCTTTTCTTTATTTCTTTACACTCTTTACAACTCTTTTTTTTATTTCTTTACTCTCATTCATTGATCATTCATTGAATCATTTTGGTTTATAATTTCTACACTATCCTTAAGTTTTTAATTTTAAATTAATGATTTATTTTGCTTTTCACTTGTGAAAAACACTGCATCTTTTGACGGGGTAGCTGTAGCTGTAACATGAAACGTAGCGCCTGTGAACAGGGGTTAACGCATCTGTTAACGCCTGAAACGTGCCTGCTCGGAGCTGAGCTACGAGTTTCTGAATTTTCCTTATCTTTTTGTACCGCTGCGTTAACACCGTAACGTGGTGAGATCTTGTGAGATTCAGTTGCGCTTGCTGTTAATGCCCTGTAGCGCAGCGGAGCGCAGCTGACCCACTGTTGGCAGCTTGGAACCTAGAAAAGATGTCTGATATACCATCCAGTTGGTAAGCTGAAGTCAACTCAGGAGTATAAAGCTGATATACCTGTAATTCTTGATTTGTAAAAGTTTCTTTTTGGTGATTAAGTCTTGTGACTAACTTGTCATAATCTCTAAGTGTACACCTTTGACAAGCTCTTCTACCAATTGGTGCACTTCCCCTTTCAGCAGATCTGGCAATGAATCTAACCACCACCCCATGGGTAGCATAGTGAGTCTGGAGGTTAGAGTCCTTGGATTAGTCTCTGAATGAGACATGGAATTGATGAAGAAAAATCGATCTAGTCTTTCCTTAGTTGGCTGTGGCCCTCTAAAATGTGAAGTTGTGTTCACACCAATCAACATATGACATAAAGCAAAGAGAAGTAGAATTGTCAATTACTTTGTCACAGTTCAAGTTCAGATAGATGAAAAGGGTATACCAGTGATCAGTAGTTGAGCATAGTCTTGATAATAATTGGCTAACCACAAAAGTTTTGTAGGAACAACCCTTTTTGCTAGTTCATTGGATAGTGAAATAGGTACAATTGAGGTAAAGAAGTAAGACTTTCACAATGATTACAATGAGATTGATATGAAAGCCCAAGGTTTAACAAGTAAGAATTTAAGTGATGATGATGGAAAGTACAGTGCCTGCCACTGAAAGCCTGTAACACGCTTCCCTGCAAATAAATTTTGACATTTCAGATCTTATGTTTGTTGTCTATATATATATAGAAACAAATTTTATTGACATAGGTGTATTGGGCCATTGTGGCAGAATCTAGGCATGTAAGGATTAAGCCATAGCATAATTTTTTTTTGCCTTGCCTCTTGGGATGGGACCACAAGTTACATATGACCTTACGTACATATTTAAGTACTTAATGTATGTAGTTAAGTACTTAGGATATGTAATTAGGTACATAGTATCTAACAGTACTAAAATGTACTTAGGATATGTAATTAGGTACATAGTATCTAACAGTACTAAAATGGCTCAGCAATACTTATCAATCCTCCTCACAGCATTTCCTTGCAGCATTTGCTGGAATCCGGCGATGAGACTTATACTTTTTCACCAGTTTTTTCACATCACTGCAAGTGTATCCCAGTCTACAGAGATTCCCCCAGATTGATATACAATGAGAGAGTGACAATCAAATTGTTGTCATGGAGCAATTCTTCCAAATTTTCTCAAATCGTTCCTTTGATTGTGCAAAGGTGTGCATTTGAAATTACCTTGACAAAATTCTGTACAGATCTAAGAGCTGGATTAATATAAATGGCAGAATCAGATGATAAGTTGGAATTTACCTTGTTTAATATAACCCCAATACGGCTCCATGGGGTTCAGCTCACAGTGAAATTTGGGAAGGAATAAACAAATGTGACCAGCTTCTTCAATCACCTTCTGAATCAGACATTTTTCTTTTAAGAAGTCGGACTGTAAGCTGAGAATCCTGAAGGCACAACAGCTTGAAGATCTGAAATGTTGTTTAGTTCTTGTATGAGATTCTTTGTCTTCATCAATGAAATAACCCTGAGCTTCAGCCTCTCGTATCAATTGTTCAGATCTGATCTCTTGATCTTGGCAAACAGCTGACTTTTTACAATCTTTGCATTTTCCTAAAAGGGGGCCATTACCATTCTGGAGGGACCGCAAGCTGTAGAAATCCCACAATCCACGCTTTTGAAGTACAGCTTTGATACCTTTTGATTGACTGGTGAGATTTTTATCTGGATGATCAGACAGATAGACCATTGATTGTGGTAAGCCTCATCGCTCAGCCGGGATGTTTGGATCATTGGTTGGAATTATGGTATCACGAAGCATATTTTTCTTACCACCAGGATTGAGATTCATATTCTGAACATGTAGAGCTGAAGGTCTGTATGCCTGATGTGCTGAAGAGCAGTCAAATATAAAGACACCTTGTGCTTTTGGGTGCAAGCGATTGAAAATTGGAATTGCTTGTTCTTGAAGTTGAGTTATCAACTGAGTCATATCCCACCAAGGATCACCCTTGGTCCCTGGGTAGATGACAACTGCCGCATCACAAGGTATACCGTGTGTTTCAGATTCAGGTAAAACGAGCCGTCCTGTAGTTTCGAGAATGAAGTCCGAGATGTGGATCAAGCGGCCTGCACTCTTGGATCTCAAGTCGGGTGTGTCAGGCAAGAGCCAGGCATGTTATGAACTGTAGATTCATCATGATACACAAATATTGTTTCAGTTGTACCTGTTTCAGGTGACCGACTGTGCTCCAGATTGTCACCGGAAAACTCAGAAGATCAAGCTCGCAGTTCAGCAACATCAGCAAGATACTTCTTGCGGTATTTTACAACATCAGGATGTTCATGACCATCAAAATAGATTGATTTCTTGAACTCTTGAGGTCGGAGATTCATTCTGTACATCCATCGATAAGTTGTACGCTCGGATATCATTGTTTTGATTCCACAGCCAGGCAACACTGTCTCATTGACATGACACCGGAAACTATGAGGAGTGACCTGTTCAAAGATTCATGAATAAGTTTACTTTCTAATTTGTCCCATAAATTAAGATCACAAAAACAAACCTCTCCAGGCTTCTTTGTCACCAGCCATCGGTAAATTGCCATCTCTACTTCTTTGTTATCTAAGGCTGATGCAGGTCTTGATGACTTACCAGTCGCCAATAAAGCTAGCTCGCCGTGTGTGATCAAGTCCTCAGCTTGTTGGCAAATTTTTTGTGCTCGACTGGTCCCTGTAGTAAACTTGGGCAATTTTGAGGGTGGTAGGCGGCGACAGGATGACTGAGCAGTGATGTAAGAAGCAGCAACTGCAGGCGATTTTGTTTGACTCAAGGTAAGCTCGAGCCTTCGGCTGTTGAATTCACGAATCTCGTCAAGTATCAGGGATGGATAGGTAAACTTTGGATTGGCCAAGCGTTCTTTGGTGTACAGATCCGTGGCCGATTTTAAAGCGACATTAAGCTTGTCAAACTGTTCATAGGCTTTCTCCTCCCAGGTCAAATGAGTGTTGGCCTTGACACGGTTCGATCAATAGTTCTCTACGCGCTCATTGATGCAGGCATCAAGGTCAGGTGAAATCAGATTGTCCAAGACCGAGTCTGCTTCAGTGGTTTGATGAGTTTCTACCAAAGTTTGATCTTTGATTGCTGACACAATTTGGGAATCGAGCTCTTCAGAATCACAGCCAGTCAGGCTTTCATCTGAACCAGTTTGATAAGTCAAAGCTGTAACATCATTCAATTCAAGATTTTGTGTTTGTACTGCCGGAAGAGGTCTTGGAATAACACAAGCCCAATTAGATATCATATTAATGTTGCCTCTGAGTGCTTTCTTTTGTTTTGAAAGACGGTTATGCTTTGTTTGCTTAGGAACAGGTGCTGGGAGAAGTTTTTGGCGTTTTGAACTCGGGTTTTCAATTGGTTTCCGATAACCCTTTGTGATTTGGCCGCTAGAATTCTTGCGCTTACAATTTTGAATGGCGGGATATGCAACTTTCGAGGTGAATATTGGCCATGGTCTTGAAACTACTGTCATGTCACATTCTTCCTCATCATCCAAGTCTAGAATGTTTTCAACTACTTGTCTGATGATTTTGTTTGATTGTTGCTATTCATCTTGTTCAGTTTCAATGAAGGTATTGGCCAGATTGATATCTTTGTCCGCAGCTTCTGTTAGCTCTATGAATTGACTGATTGACTTGTCAGAGATTTGTTTGTGGTTGCTGGTAGGTGATGCTGGATCATTCCAAGAGTTTGGTGCCTGATGCTTGCTTTCCTGTTCTCTTTTTCTACGTTCACGTTGGCTTTTTTTTCTCAGTGAGACCACCATTTTCAAGAAAATGAGCAAGATTTTGCAGGAAATAGAAGAATTTTTTGTCCAAAGTGAAAAAAAATATCCCCTTGGCCACCATCTGATGGCGGTGAAATTTTGCCCACAAATGGGACCAAGGCCAGCCCCGAGTACCCCGGGGCCACAGTCTTACAGGCTTTCAGTGGCAGGCACTGTAGATTTTTTTTGAAGATAAACAAAGTGAAGTTGAAAGAGATAAAAATGAATCATATTGAGAATATTCTTTTTATTGTTGGTTAATTTTCAATATTAAATGCTTCATCTTTCTCTTTTTGACAATCTCTTCTCATTTTATCTTCTAATAGAATCTGTAAGTGAGGGGTTGGCCAACTGTACTTGGAGTATGAAACTCAACCCGTCGAACAACTGGTTTCTGCTCAAAAACCCGTTGAAGTCAAACCAAGTTTTGGCCTTGATTCTTGGACACCCCGCAAACCAAATTTCAACAAAAGCGGGGTTTATTGTGTAGTGCTGAAGCCTGACATGTATTTGGGAGGGTGGTGATTTGATCCTGAATCCTCATCTGAGAGACTGAGCCCACAGAATGCTCATCCAAGAAGAAAATGAGCATTGTCCAGCAACACCAAGCAAAATCTGAGCAAAACAGCCTCATTGCCTGTACACTACCAAAATTGTCAATTGGATGAATCTGAAAGAAAATCAATCTTTTTTGGAGACTTCTGGGAAGTCTACAACACTCACACCTATGTGAGCATCTGTTTTGGCCCCTGTGAGGATACCTTTCAAATACATACCTTGTACAAAATTCCTGGTATCACAAGGACCACCACATCCCCCTTGACAGTGAGGAGGGCTGAAAGTCTCACAGTTGTGGTAAATAAGCATCCAATTCAATTTGCCTTTGTCAATCATAACCTCAACCAGTGCATGGTCATGGATCTCATTTCTGAACTGAATTCTGTTTGAGGCCTCAACTTGAGCTGAACTCCTCAATCTCCAGGGATGATGCTCCACAAACTGTATGGGCCTACTTGCCATCAAAATAAACACAATTCAAAGTTGCAATGACACATCATGGCTAGGTCTGTGAGATGCAACACCTGGGGGCAGCCAACTCTGTCTGGGCCACCTTACTTGGTATGATTTTTGGTTGTTCTTCTTTTTCCCACTCAACTCTGATCTGATTTATCATCACACTGAATAATGGAATCAACAGGCTGCTGGGTTTCATTGTGCACAATTACCACAACAAATATTCTGTCTACCTCAAGAGGGGCATCACTACTGGTAATCACAAACCACTGTGCTTTGCAGACAATTGCACCCCTGATTTGAGCTGAAGTACAAGCATTTGCATCCCAGTCAGAGTTTTGCTTTGGGTTTTGTGAATTCCCAAACTTTGTCTTATCTGATGATGGTAAACCTCCGATCTTGCTAGAAGGTCCAAGTTAGCACTATTGCACGAACCTTCATTGGAAAGACCTCTGAAGATAGCACACAGAAAGTAATTGACTTCACAAAGGTCTTGTATTGGGCGCGGTAGAACCTGTGGGACGTCCTGCAGAAAGTCGACAAAGGTAAGGGACAGCTCATCTCTGCTCATCGTGGCTTATCAGGGCTTATCCATATTGATGAAATTTTAATATATGCAGACATAGACAAATTGATCAGTTTAAATTGATAATTACTTGAAATAGAGTAGATCACCTCTTCTATACACCAAAGAAGACAGCCTGATCAAGTTTGGTCTTGAGCTTGAAAGTTGCCCTGTCAAGGCAGTCCTCAGCAGTCAAGGGCCTGCAATAGGGCCAAAAGCGATGAAGTCATGAGGATCGATTTCAATAAGAGTAGCACAATAGGTAGCATGCTCACATGGGTCTCTGAAGCTCAGATGCGCCAAGTTCTATTTCCAAAATTCCGCTGGTAGTTGTCAGGACTTTCAAAGTAGGGAGGTGCTCACCACTTTCACGCACAGGCTGAATACTCAGGCTTTTTGTACCCCCTCCGATGATTCTGTTTGTGGCTCCTGATTTTAGAGATACCATCTGCTCAATATTTGTCCCTGGTGTCAATGAGACTGCGATTACACATTCTGGGAAGCAAATGAAAGCTGCTGGGCCACCATGAGGTAGAGAAAGTGTTGGAGCAGTCTCGACCCAAGGGTCTGGATACTGCAAGGTCACACCTTGTAAGTTATTGTTGCTGTATGCATACATCAAAATCTTGGCTTACTTCACAATGCTGCAACTTGATCGCATGAGTATTTACTGTGGGCAACACGGTCTTTGATATGATACCTAAGATGATGATGGCATATGATATTGGCTTGATGAAACTTGAGACTTTGGGTAACTCTGTTGCGTTGACGTATGAGACCAGGATTGCCAAATTACGGGAACTTCACACACGCCAATTTAGTTTCAATGCGGATTGAAGGTCACAAAAGCGAAACAGATGGACTGACTATGATCATGTGAGCGGGGTTCATATGTATGGCACTCAGGTATGTAAGTATTTACACCCTTTGTGAATTCAAGTGGGTTTGTGGAATGATTACATACAACCCCTTTCATTAGATTTGTGCTGCATTCAAGGCTCAATCGGTTTTATCCAAAGACTATGTCAATTTATCCTTACTCCTGCCGGATTCTGCTGCACCAAAATTTCATCACATCCCAAATCAATAAGTTATATTCGTATTGGTCAGTGCTCTCTCCATTTCTCATCTTTTCAAAGCTCTCAGTTCAAGCCTTTGTCTACATACCATGTAGCAATGGTATTTCCACCTGTATTAGGCCATGTAAGTAGCGGCATCTTACCTGGGTTAGAAGCCATTGTGTTTCATGATCAAAAGCCGGATCCAAATGCAATCCCCGGAGGCGGCTCAACTTCTGCGGAACGTGAAATGGACTTTGATATCTATATCAAACGGAACCTTGACATCAGGTACTTGCACAAAATCCCTGATTATATTGTTCAACATGTACAAACACACGGCTTTCTCAACCGCCACGAGATTGAGGAGATTATTGAAGCTATTGTGCCTTTGGAGGAAGAGACTGATGACATCAGAAAACTCTGTTACAAAACTCAAACAATGCTTGTATACGTTCAGACGATGTTGCGTTCGGAAGATCCCAAAGTTATTGCTCAGCGGGAAATTTTGAAGAGTCAAGAAAAGTTGTCAGGCAAACGTTACAAACGTCTTAAGCGCAAGTTGCAAGAATATCAAGATGATACCGGGCTTCTATGGGCACTAATGGCTCAGGAGATGTGAGTAGACGAGGCAAAAAACTATTGCATCTGAACGAGATCATTCTGACTGACATGATACTTTTTCCACAGTAAACGCACCTGTGATGTTGAAGATGCTGCTACTGCTGCGAATGGAGCGGAACCTGATGCTGCCGCGCCCCCCTACACCCATACACCTCATGGGACGGGACTGTCGGGTGGCTTGGGCTCTTGATGTAAAAGATTCAATCAGTGGTGTGAATCATGAAGCGCATATAGAAACATATAGGAAGTATAGCTGATATTTACAGGCCCTCCTCAAAAACATGAGAAAGAGATTAGTTGTTTATTTTTAATTTAAAGCATTCCAGTTATTCTTTGGGAATAATGTCTGTTGTTTTATTTTGGGAAGTATGTCTTTGAGTACGTTTAATCTAGCTGTAGAGAGCTGCATACAAAGACAGTCTCACAGTGAAAAAGTGCTGATTTTTAGTGGAAATGGTCTCACATGGACTGTGAGAGACACTCTTCAGATTAAATTCTGATGGTGCTTCTACATAACTGTGGATCACACATCTAGTGTCTTACAATCATTCTTGATTTGAAACATTCACAAGCTGGTGACTTACTGTTAGGCTGACAAAAACTTTTGTCCTTGAATTGTGAGCAACTAATCTCCTGGACCAATTGTGGGGTCATGGATATCTCACCAGGTGACATCTGTGATACCCTCCAACCCATCAAAGCTGGCCACACTGACCACATACTCTCCAACTTTCATCACAACACCCACTGAATCACCTCACTACCTGAACCCACAACATCAATCATACTGTTGCATGATTTCACCCTCCAAGTCATCAGCCAGTCAGCCACCACATAGCTTGGGCTGTCAGATAGCCTAGGCTTGCTACTTATGTCACACCATGCCACATGCACACATGGATGATTTAAGTATTGTTGGACCATACTTTCATTCCTCTTTTTCTTTTATTTCCCTTCCTTCAAAATTCTTCTAAAATAAAACCAATGCAACTCAATTTTTTCTTGACTTTGTTTGTCTTTGTTGGACTACATGATCAGAATATAGAAAACAAGATTTTCATCATTTGCTTGTGAACTTGAATTTTAAGAACAGCATAACCCCATATGGTTTTCATCCTAGATATGTAATTTGGTCTGTTATGTTGCAGTGATGTGTAAAGATGCTTACAGTATTTTTGTACAAGGTGCTGTTTTATCATAGTCTCAGTGATCAAGATTATATTATCAGATTCTCAGAACACTTTTCTTGATTCTTTGATGCTCCTAAGTTGAACTATTGAAACAAAGAGCATAATTGATGAGACCATCAAAACACTCATGATAAACCAAGGAAGTTATCATGCAACTGAGATGGTAAGTGTATAGAATTATATAAAATAAGTAATCCAATAAACTGCATTTGATACATTTCATGCAACATATAAAATCAGCATTCCAATTTTATAAATTTGGTAGTTTAAGGTCTACACTGCAAGTCAAGGTATAGATTGTTTTGGAACAAAAGGTAGAGCGTTTGGGGGGGAAATATCTCACCAGCCAGACCACACTGGCCTGAGCACTACATGCAAGGTGGTGACGCCGCGGGTGCGGGGTCGCGCTGACCCCGGATCGACCCCCCGCTTTTGCAAGACCCCCCCCTTGGGTTTTGTGCAGCGTCACCGCGACCCCGCATCCGCGGGGTCAGCACTTTGCATGTAGTGGAGATACTGTACTCAGGTTACAGTTCAATGCTCATTCATCAAGTATATACCAAAGTGGATATGTATTGAGTTCAAACCTTGCATGGGGTATTCTCATTTTTTGTTTCATCAGGTTGTAGTGCAGCCATGAAATTCAACACTCCAGACCTAGAGTAAGAACATTGGCTGATGCCTGGACAATCACCGTCAATCCAACCAATCCTTCCACACCCACATTCTTACTTAGTTAAAACATGGACTTACAAGGTAGACATATGAAAAAACATAAAAATGTATGTATCTGAGAGGGAAAACATTTGTACTTTATGAGGTCGGAATTAGTAAGTTGGGGTTGAACTGGGGAAGTTGAGGTCGAACTGGGGAAGTTTAGGTCCCACTTGGGAAGTTAAGGTCAAACTGAAGTTGAGGTCAACCTGGGAAAGCTGAGGTCAAACTGGGGATGCTGAGGTCGAACTAGGAAATTGAGGTCAAACTGCAGAAGTTGAGGTCAAACTTGGGAAGTTGGGGTCGAACTTGGGAAGTTGGGGTCAAACTGCGGAAGTAGTTGAGCATGAATGGTTGGGCGTATGCAGTCGCGTACATTTTTCAACATGCAGGCTCATCAAATCAATATCTGCTGACATCCCTTTCCTCTCAGCTTCTACAAGATATTTTATGAAGATGACCGCAATATGTTTGATAGGAAAACTTTATATGCATTGCTTGTGTCGATTCTACTATTTTATCAATGCTTGTGTATGTACAGTTCTTCAGTCACCACTCTTATCACAATATCAGTCTTACAATTTTTGAAATATATCACTCTTGCTTGAACAACGACATTGAAAGACTTTTCCAGGCTTATCTTTAAGTTTTGATGTCCCTTTTTTGGTGGGCTGACCAAGCGGTGGACCTGTTTGGCTGGAGCGCGTGCGTCTTGCCTTGTTTTCACAACAAAACCAGGCAAAAAATCAGGAATTTCATCATGACATGGCTTCAAGACTTGAATTTGGCTTGCAACTCATGTATGTACACACTCATACCTACACAATAAGAGCAAACCGCGAATTTTTTGATGCCAAATACAAAGGTAGATAAGCAAACAAACACATTTTGCTGATTTTCTTCATGTCATTGTGATCACCAACTGCGACTATAGCTTCAAGCACCAATAGAAAAAAAACTGGGTCAATTAACACCAAGGTTGCTTACATCATTTGTACTTTCCACTTCCGTTCCTCAAACCCATAAACTAACTTTCTGATCCGTCTATTCTTATCAAAATAATAAAATCAACAAGATTATTGAAAAAGGCCAGCTGACTCAAAAAATACAGCACTTCTAGACGGCACTTTGGTCGATGCAACATCCAGGTAAGTCTCATATCATATTTCCAATCTAGCTAGGCTCAATTATGACCTAGCGACCAATCTCTTTCTTTGCACCGTTGTGCCCTCTGTACGTAGAAACAAACTCTGGCCTTGCTGTTCACTGGAAAAGTTTGTGCTACTGCATAGCAGAATCTGGATCCCCAGCTGCGTTTTTACCCATGTCTCTGTGGTCTCCTCTTCCGCCGATCTTGCTTATTGGCTAACCATTGCCCAGCAAAAACTCCTTTGCATTGCTGCAAACTGTAAACTGAAGATCTAGCAGGACATGGAAATTTATGTGTGTCCTGCAACGAAACCGCCGGGTTTGCATATGGCTGGTTGCACATTCCAATGGCAGTATGTACAATAGTTTTGATACAAGACAATGCTCAGTACTTACTGCAGCCTTTCTCTTCATACAGACCTCCTTGAAGTTGCTGTTGACTCTCCTGCTATGTTACTCAACTAAGCTAATGCCACTAACAAAGCTTCAGGTGAGTTAGCCAACATGTCATTAAATGAACTCCTTGGTTTAATTGTTGTCCTTGAAATCATATTGGATCTTTATTTTCTTGGCATTCATCATCGTCTTTGGCACATTACCTGCTCTGAACAACTTTTTGACTGAGACTATTATTCATGTGCAAGCGCACAGCACCGCTTGGTTACTCTCATGACTCTTATCTTACATCATCCCTCTTTGAGTCATTCCTGCTCTCATGATGGGTATCATGATGCATGGTTGGACTGAACTCTTCATCTGAACATGTCCTGGAATTTCTTTTAGTCGTCCTCCAATCAAGCATTGTTCGAATGTTCTACAACTAATTCCTAGCAACAGTCTGTAGATAACAAGGTTCAGTGATTACAGATGGCTCTTACTGTTTTCCTTGTCAAAGTTTCTTCATTCATTCCGCTGCTCAGGAGGATACCAGATGTTGCTCCTTTCAAATTCTCTCTGGAGGCCTTGCCAGTGAATCAGGTTTGAATTGGACTGATGATTCTGAATCATCAGTTGTGGGTGTATTTATGACAAAATGATGAGATTTGTGTTTGGACTGTGAATCATTTTATTCTTTCTATGCACTTCCAAATATTTTGAAAATCAAAAGGAAAGAGGAACTCATGTAGGTGTTATACAAAGTTTTTGATAGAATAAGAAAACATCCACATACCCACACAAACATGTAAGCACAAAGCCTCTTCTTCGTGTTCTCCATCGCAGATCAATTTGAAGAATTAAAAGAAGTGGGATCTGAAAGTTTTTTACAATACCATGAGATATGCTAGAGGAT